GCTGTACTTAGCCTAGGGAGTCAGAGATCAGGTAGGATCTTGCTCTCTAGGATCTCCCAGTCTGAGGACTAGAGATAAGATTCTGATCAGCCTTCCTGTGATGCAAGTACTTGCCTGTGAAGAGACAGGCATGGACTTTGGATAAGTTCAGTCACTTGTGACTTGTATGGTATACACAAACAGCCCTATAGAAGGTTGCAGAAGGGCTTGGCCCTGTTGAGTATTTTTTTTTTTAATATTTTATTATTTTTATTTTATGTGTGCGAGTGTATTGCCTGCATGTATGTGAATGCACCTGTGTCATGCAATGCTGTGGAAGTCAGAAGTGGCCTTCGGATTCCCCTGGAACTGGAGTTAAGGATGGTTTGTAGCTGCCATGTGGATGCTGGGAATCAAACCCGGGTCCTCTGCAAGAGCAGTCAGTGCTCTTAACCATGTCTCCAGTGTTGAGTATTTCTTGTACTTTGGGGCAGAGACTATAAAGGTCACTTTAGGGGAGGATGGGTTAGTGTAGCCAGAGGTAAGGGTTGGAATGCCTGGAGGTGAATTATTGCTTGGGAGGGCTGCAGCTTAGAGAGAGGCTTGTGTTAGAGGCAGCTATGAGAGCTGCAGTGTTAAACTTGCCCATCTCTTAGAGCCCATTGGCTCCCCTTCCCCCACTCCCAGTTGGGACACTTCCCCTGCTCTAACTGCCTCAGAGATCTGGCAATCAGGCAAACATCAGTGCTTCCTTTTCCTCCTCCTTCTAGGCCTGCCTGGGCCACACCCCAAGGCCAGGGCGCACTGGATGCATGCTGGACTCCCGGGGGCCTCACCACTGCACTCTACTTGTTGTTGCCCCACAAGTTATATTCCCATAGAGTTCCTTGGCTGGAATCAGTTCAGCCTAATATTATAGGAAAAGTTTTGGCTGTTATTCTCCAGTAAAACTCAGCATTGTAGTGTTGGCTGGGGTAGGATATCCAGTCCTGGACTCTGGAGGGGTCCATCCCAGTCTCCATAATCAGGGCTTGCCTAGCAGATCAGAAGATAGTAGTTGTACACTCCTGTGTGTCTAGTCCTATACTCAGCTTTTTTGTGGTTGACAGACGTTAACTGCTTGCTGGTTAAGGACTATCCATCACTTGTATACAACTGTCATATGGAACGAAAGTGAGTTAAAAGGGCTAGCCATGCTATGGAAAGTCAAAGAATTCAGTAGCCTCATGGGATGGTAAGATTTAAGCCAGGCCTTGAGGAGTCAGGAAGATTTGAGAGGGGAAAGTGAACAGTAGTAGCAGAAAGAAAAAAAAGTAAAATTTCAGATACTAGAATGACTTGTCATTTGATCCCAGCACTTGGGAGACAGGCAGGTGGATCTCTGTAAGTTCAAGGCCAGCCTGGTCCACATGGTAAGACCTTGTCTCAAAGGTGGGGGTGGGGAGGTGGGGAGGAGTTTGCTAGAAAGATGGCTCAGTGGTTAAAAATGCATATTGGTCTTGCAGAGTACCTAAGTTCAGTTCCTAACACCCACTTCACCCATAGGTGGTTGTGAGCCACTCATAGCTCCAGGGGATCTGGGACCTCTGAATCTCTGACCTCCATGGGCACCTGTACTCAAGTGCACATACCCACAAGTACAGAATTAAAAATAAAAACAAAAAGAATGACGGAGACTTAATGGCAAAGAATGTTGTAGACCCTTCTGGAGCAAGGAGCTAGGGACTCACACCAAGTGCCCATATGGTGCATATATACTGTATATTAATGAACTTAACCGTTATAGCAATCCTGTAAGATAGTGCCTTTGTGGCTGCATTTGAGAAGTAAAGAAACTCAAGTTTACAGAGGTATATCCATTCTAAGTCCAGGGTCATACAACTGATAAGTGAGGAAATAGGACTTAACACTAGGTCTGTAGGACTCTTAAATTCCTCTCATATTATGAATAATTTTGAATGACAAAGTGAGAGTCCAGGCATGATCTGAATTAAGTAAATTGGGTATAAAAAGCCAGAACTAGTCATTGTTGTTTGACTAATATACAGATCTGCAAACATCACTTAACCAAGATCTTTTTAAAATTTGTATTTATTATTATTAGGGAGTGAGCTTCTGGGGATTGAACCTGGCCCTTGCACATATTAGGCATACATTGCTTTACTACAGAGCCACATTCCCAACAGATATTTTTTTAAACTGCTTAAGTGAATAAATCATAATCAAAACCCAGTCCCAGGCAGGCCACTCCTGGTTTGGCCTTCTGCAGCACTGACAATCTTTTCTTCCTATCTGGCACTTTAGACCCTATAATGTATTTGCTTAAGTGATCCATGGAAACTATTTGACCCAGCCAAAAGATTTCAAAGAAAAAAAGTTGTTAGAGGGCTGGAGATATAGCTCAGTGGTAGAGTAGTAGAGTATTTGCCTAGCATGTGCAAGGCCCTAGGTTCAATCCTCTGTAGTGCAGGCAAAAAAAGAAAAAAGAAAAAAAAAGGAAAGAGAAAGAGAGTTATCGTGGGGGAAAGGGTGAAGGTTTGGGCTAGAAGGGAGAACTGAGTCTACATATGTGTACTTAGCACTTCTTGTCTCTGGGACTGAAAGGCTTTGCCTCTGTCACTGCCTGTGTGTATCATACATGACAGTTTACAAAGTATATTCACTCTCATGCTTGGAATCTTCTGCATCCCTGTGAGGCCAGGAGAGCAAGGTAACAGATGAAGAAACTGAGGCTCCAGTAAAGGAAGTGACTAACTTGTTCAAGGCCCCCCAGTAGCTGGTAAGAGGTAGACTGGAGCTATGTGGTATGATGAAGAAAGCATAGGATTTTGGATCACAGAACTGAGTTTTATGTCCTGGCCCCTGTACTCTAACAACTGTGTGATGTTAAATTACTTTACTCTGAGTTTATTTTCTTCAGTTGTAAAATAGAAGTCATGCCAGTAGGTTCTTAGAAGGATCAGATGGAGTGCCATGTTATCTATCCATAAACACTTTTACCATATGGGGGTGTTTTATTGAGGGTCAAGATCAGCAGATGAGTTCAGCAGGTCAGATTCAGGTATCTGGTGCTCTTGGCTCTATACCATACCTTGTTTTGGACACTCATTCATAATCCTTTTCCCTTGCCAGCCCAGAAGCTACTCTCCCTCCCACTGCTTTGAGGGCTGATTTACTGATTGCTGGTTGATAAACTACCTCCTGAGAGAGCTGGGTGTACTTTCAGTCTCTTGGGCCTTCTGACTGCTGGCCCAAATTCCCTTCTTGCCTTCCTGCTTCAGGCAGGCAACCCATGCTGGGTTTATAGAGAAGTCTCAGTCCTGCTGCCACGTAGTCCCCTGTGTGGAACTGAGGATTACAGGCCTAAGAGTTCTGTTGTGAAAATGCTAAGGCTTCCCAGATGTCCCAGTGGACAAAGCTAATGACCCCTGAGGCCTTTTCAAGTCTTTAAATAGTGGGTTTCATTATTAGGTTTCCCCCCATATATATCATATTTATCATTATACTTTGCTGATATGTTCATATTCACCCCCAATTCCCTTCTCCCCCCTTCTCCCACTGATCTCCTTCCTCTTCCCAAATAAATCCCTTTCTGCTTTCATGTCATTTAAATATATATATATATATATACACACATATATAGTGTCTATATTATATGTATATAATAGATATTTAAATCTATATTCCACATATAAGAGAAAATATGAAATGTCTCTATTTCCCCTTTAAGTCCCCATCCAGAGGGTCTCACTGTGTATCTCTGGTTGGCCTAGAATGCAATATGTAGACCAGGCTGGCCTAGAACTCCAAGAGATCCTCCTGCCTCTGCCTCCCAAGTGCACCACCATACTCAGCCTTTTTGGTTTTGAGACATGGTCTTGCTATGTAGCTTTGAGAGACCTAGAACTCACTATGTAAACAGGCTGGTTTCAAACTTGGAGTAATCCTGCCTCTGCTGCCTGAGTACTGGAATTCAAAGTATTCACTGCCACACTCATATGCCCTTGTCATAGTTTTTAGTCTCCATTTCCTAAAAGGAGAACCTGAGGTCCAGATGGCGTAAGTGCATGATGCTTGGTTGCAGTGAGTCAGCAGAGCTAGAGCTAGAACTTAGGTCTCTGGTCTTCCTGTCTGAGGTTCCCTCTGCTGCCCTTGAGTACTTTCATTTACTTCCCTGACCACTCTCTGAGGGTCCATCTGACTCTCCTAGGGCTGGACACATACTTATGCAAATAAGATGGAAATACTGTTAATGTGATCCTGAAAAGTAACCTCACAGAGTGAAACCATTTCCCTCCCAGCTGGCCCTAGAAGAAGCTAGTATAAAGCCGTGGGTCCTTTGTAGCCCCTAAACCAACGTTCTTTTTCTGTTCCCCACCACCACAGTGCACATTGCCTTTGGAATGAATACTGAGAGATCAGACTGGAGAGAGAAGTCCATACTACCTGGGGAAAAATGAAAATAACTAAAATTAATTGACACTATTCTAAGTGGGCTTTTTTTTATTACTTTTAAATTTTGTGTGAATGTATTGCATGTATGTATGTAAGTGCACCTGTGTCATGCAATGCCTGCAGATGTCAGAAGAGGGCATCGGATCCCCTGGAACTGAGACTCGAACCCAGGTCCTCTGTAAGAGCAGCCAGTGCTCTTAACCATTAAGCCTTCTCTCCAGCCCCTATTTAAGTGTTTTACATGTATTAATCCTTACAATAAGCAAATGAGGTAGGCATTATTTCCATTTTACAGATAAGAAAACTGAGGCATAGAGAAGTGACTAGTCCAGTGTCACTGCTTATTGACCTTAGTCTAGTACCAGAGGTTATGTCTCCCACCAAGTAGTACGGCAACTTGCAACATCTCAGGACCTCTCACTGTTTTGGTTTGTCTTCATGGAATTTTGGGATGATGTCAGAGTAACAGAACAGAAAGCAGATTTTTGTTGTTTTTTGTTTTCCCCCTTTTTTCTCAGTAGGTACAGGCCTCCCTAACCAAGAATGTCCCTCTCATCTTTTCATAGGTCACTGCTTCCAGAAGGGCCCGGAAGACAGAGGAGGCACTGCCTCCACTTCAGCACTTCACCCACCATGCAGAGCATCAAATGTGTGGTGGTGGGTGATGGGGCTGTGGGCAAGACATGCCTGCTCATCTGCTACACAACCAATGCCTTCCCCAAGGAGTACATCCCCACCGTGTTCGACAACTACAGCGCCCAGAGTGCAGTTGATGGGCGCACAGTGAACCTGAACCTGTGGGACACTGCGGGCCAGGAGGAATACGACCGCCTCCGTACACTTTCCTACCCTCAGACCAATGTCTTTGTCATCTGTTTCTCTATTGCCAGTCCACCCTCTTACGAGAACGTGAGGCACAAGTGGCATCCAGAGGTGTGCCACCACTGCCCTGACGTGCCTATCCTCTTGGTGGGCACCAAGAAGGACCTGAGAGCCCAACCTGATACCCTACGGCGCCTCAAAGAGCAGGGCCAAGCACCCATCACACCACAGCAGGGCCAGGCACTGGCCAAGCAGATCCATGCTGTGCGCTACCTTGAGTGCTCAGCATTGCAGCAGGACGGCGTCAAGGAAGTGTTTGCAGAGGCTGTCCGAGCTGTGCTCAACCCAACGCCGATCAAGCGTGGGCGGTCTTGCATCCTCTTGTGACCCTGGCAGCTTGGAGGCCCCCCCACCCCCACCAGTTGTGCCTTGGCGCCTTGTTTGCCCCCAGCTGTGCCTTAAGGACTAATTCTGGCACCCCTTGCCAGGGGGCTCCCTGAATGCCTTTTTCTGCTCAAGGAGGCATACAGGGAAAGGGCCTTTGGGCCCTGCCCCATTCTGCTTGGGAACACCAGGTATTCCATGAGCTCACCCAAGCCAAGGTTGAGCCTCCCAAGAGGCCAACCCAGTGCTACCCCTCCAGTTTCTGCTACTGACCAATTCATCCAGCTTTCCACAAGATTGTTGCTGCCTATTATGGTGCCTCCTCTCAGGTTAGGGCTCTCAGCCCTCTCTAACCTCTGCCTTTGCTCTTGGAGTTGTCCCTCCAAGATGCTCTCTCCCTTCTCCAAGGGAGGAACCACAGAATCCTGAGAAGAAAAATGTGCCTTAACCTGCCCCATGTGCCCAGGCCTTATGCGTCCGCTGACTGACTCAGCCCCCCTGTGCTCCTGGGGGCCTTTCCTACCCCCATCAGCATCAATAAAACCTCCTGTCTCCAGTGGCACCCTGGCTCCTCCCTATGTACTGGGCATTAGGGGGTGGGCATGAGCAAGGGCTCCCCAGAGACTGGGAGCCTTTTGTTTCCTCTAAGATGGGACAGAAGACAACAGGCTTCATTGTGGTCCCCACCCCCAACCCCCAATTTCCCTAACAAAGCTTAGCCACAGATACTATAGTGAACTAAAATGCAAAGCTTGAGGAAGACTTCCTGGACTAGGAAGGGGAAATGTTGAAAGCCATAAGCTTGAAGGTAGGTGCTCTAAGTCATGTGTCTTGAGAGCTGTACTCATACCTTCAAAAGTTCAGGTCTTTATCTAGGTCTAGAGTGGGGAACAAGGGTAGGGGAGATGCCAGATGGAATAATGAGCTGCTGTGGATCTGGAGCCCATCCCACACCTCTGTTCCTATGGAGAAAGAAGCCACAAGAGTAATATGTTATTCAAGATTGTTGGCAAAAGAGAAAAATTTATTGTCACTTGAAATAAAATGTACAACCATAAGAGGTGAGAGTCTGGGAAAAAAGGGGAAATGAAGGGACACCAAAGAGCTGATTCTAGAGTAAGGAAATATACCTCTGACCCCTTACCGCTTGGCAAAGGAGGGAAAGGGTCTGCTTTATCTCATAATTTTAGGGTTTTGTTTTTTTGAGACAGGGTCTCATTTTGTAGCCCTGGCTGGCCTGGAATTCACTATGTAAACCAGGCTGGCGTCAATCTCACAGAGATCCTCTTTCCCCTGCCTCTAGGGGACTGGGGTTGAAGGTATGCACCAACATACCCAGCATTTTCATTTTTTTGAGACAGATCTCACTATAAAGCCCAGTCTGGCCTAGAACTTGGATTATTCTCTTGCCTCAGCTTCCCATATGCTGGGATTATAGGCATGGTCCATCATGCCCAGAAAACCAGTAATGTTTAAACAGGAAGGGAATATATGCTATGCTTGATGTTGCTTCTAGGATAAGCCATCTTTCAGGTACAGAACACTACTTCCATCAGAAAACCTCAGGGACACTGGCAAAGCCCTTGGAAATCATAAAACACACTGAGGATGGGAAAGGGTACACATTCAGAGTCACCCCAGATCAAAGAGGTGACATAGGAACTAGAACACCTGGGTAAATTCAGAGTTACAGTCACGGGCCTGGGTGTGTGCAACGGACCACTAGACATGTCAAATGAGTGACCTAGAGAGAAGCAGCTGTGGTTTTCAGGAAGCAGCCACTGCTCAGTGGTCCCTGTCCTCATTGAAAAATGGCTACATAAAGGCCAAAAACTGGATGGTTATGAACCTCAGGACTTTTGTTTAGCACCAAGCGGTGGAGCTTTCCTGCCCATGCAGTTTTTGGGGCCTCTCACTTAATGGTGATGTTTCTTGAAGACCCCTGGGCTTGTGAGGTTTCAGAAGCCAGCAAGTGCTGGGGTGGGGGCAGGGGGTCAGCCTTGTCATATACTCTCCTGTCCTTCCCCCATCCCCAGCTTCAGAAGGGCCCAGAGAAAATGGAGAAAGGGAAGGCCAGAGTGCTTTCTTGTTTCTGGGCTGTGGACTGCCTCTTTCCAGCATCAGAGAAGGGTTTAGAATCTCTTTTCCTCGGGCTGAGAGGTAACGAGCAGTTCTTTGTTCCCGAAGTCCCACCAGGCTGTCATGTGGAATGCCATGTTGGTAAGGACAACAGTGTACTCCAAGATGGCAAAGATGGTATACACTGTTACAAGGACACAAGGAATAGGGCAAGATGAACTTCCTGTTGCCTCTCTATGGGGCTTCTTAAATCATCACATTACCAGCCCACCACAGAAAACAAATTCAGCCAATGTCTGAGACCACTGCCCACTATCAAAAACAATACAGCTGCTCCAAAGGCACTCGTGACCATTTATAGATCCTATCCTGGCCTCACCTCCAGCCTCACAATACATGTTGTGCCGAAAGTAGACAGCCAGCGCCGAGAAGAAGGAGACAAAGTTGATGATGAAGAGCCGTTGTTTCCAGCTGTAGGACTTGCGATCCTAGGGGATGGGCTGTCTGATCACTCTGCAGCCTTTTGGGTATGTGTGGGTGGGCTTCCCTCTTAGATTTAGTTCCCGAGGGCTGGCCCTTCCCTCCCTTGGTTCCCACAGTGGTCATGGAATGGGATATAGGCAGGGGCAGCAGAAATAATGAACATGTTCACATCCCTGCATTTGGAGAGTGGTAAGGCCAAGGAAGGGCTATCCCTTGCCCTTCCCATTTCAGTGGAACTGAGTATGAAAGATGCATGGAGTTCACCTACCAACCTAACACCGACAGGTACTGTGGGACAAAGGAAGGCCATGTATATGGGTGAGGGTTATTACAGAACCCAGTCCTCTGACAAGGCATCTACCCACTGGGGCTGGTTACTGCCCTTCATTTTGCCCCCATTTGGAGCCTCTATGCATTTCCCCATACTACCCAAACAGTTGACAGACAAGCCAACCCCCTCTACTTTTTCCAAGCCTCAGCCCAAAGCCCAGTACCCCTCTGCCAGGTTCCAATTAGAACGTCACTTGCCACCTCATCATTACCCACATCCTGAGGACAGATGTCCTTGATTTTCTTCTGGGCCTCCTGGTGCCCAGCTGGGGTAGATCGTACCTCTTGACTTACTGTGTGCTTCTTGGTCAGCCGCCAGAGAATGCAGGTGAGGAGCATGTAACTGAGGGATGCCGCGATAAACACAATGAAAGCATTTTCGTGGATGGCTGGAGGGAGAGAGGAGGATGGGTACCACCCTCACCCTTAGGCAGAAGAAAAGGCTACGCCCCCTTCCCTTGCGCTTCTCCACCCCTCCCTTGTCTAAGCACCCACTGAAGTCCTCGGAGGAGGAGACATAGGTGAGTACGAGCAGTGCGATGTTCTCCACCACGTTGAGGCTGAAGTTGAGGCGGCAGAGGAGGCGGTAGCCAGGACACGGAGATGCACAGCTGAGGTAGTGGTTCCAGTAGGCAAAGGCCGCCAAGAAGCGTGGCGCCGAGTGCAAGCCGATGCAGAAGCGCCACACATAGCGCTGGGGCACCTCCCCGCCAATGGCCGAGCTCACAGACGGTAGGTAATTGGGCACCTAGAGAGTTATGAAGGGTCTAAGAATTGTTTTGCTGGTCCTGCCCTCCAGAAAGGCCTTCATATCTAAGCCACTCCCCCTTCCCTTCCAAGTTCTCCTGGCGCCCTCCCATGAGACTTGCACTTCTAGTTCCTGGGACTGATGTGCTTATTCTCCAGCTGGCTTGGGATTTGGGCAGGGGAAAAGGAGGCTTTCTCCATCTTCCTTGAAATTGGAACTTGCACATTTGAGCAAGATGGGTTCAGCTGCTCCCTATGCTGATAGCCCAGAGCTGTGCCTCAAATAACCTAGGCTTCAGTACTGAGGACCAGGATGAGTCACAGACCATCTGACTTTCTTTGGAACAGTGCTGCCTGATGAGTTGTTCCGGTCACACTGCTCCTAGCTCCATTCATTTCCCCAGGCAGGTATACTGATGTGTAGAGGGGGCACCTCTGCCTTCCGAGTGCTGGGAGACGTTGCAGGGAGCCAGGGATTCCAGGTTATCCCTACTCTGATCATATTTAAGAAAGCGTGTTCTTCTAACCTGATACAGTCTAGAAAATGAGCATGTTCCTATATATTTCTCCTATCTTCCTCAATGCCTGGAGCTTCTCACTCCTTAAGGAACTGTAGCCTCTCTCCTTAAGCTTGAAGGAGAGGATGTAATCATTCACACAGCTGCAAGGACTGGTGGTACTTGGATGGGAGGTGAGAGGATAGAGGGCAAGTGAACCATGGTTGAGATGGGGCCAGGAAAGCCAGGGATGGGGAAAGATCTCTTAGACTCCAGGACATAAAGCAGTGCTTTGCAAACTTTACCACACATGGAACTCATTGGAGAATTGTGTGAAATGCAGGTCTGGAATGTAAGAATCTGCTCTTGTAAAAGATCCCAATATCAAAAGCTGCCCATCCATTGCCTACACTTTCTACAGGCAGTTGACAGCCTTTTAAACAGTCCTTTACCAGGGCTAGGGCAATGTGGAACCCTGTGCAGAGCAACCTTGCTCTATGAGACCAGTGTTCAGGTCTTCAGAAATAGAGTTCTGAAAGTTCTATTTTGTTCTTCTAACGAAGATGCTGAATGAGCCTAGGGATTGCTGGTACAGTGGGCAATGTGGGAGAAAGCTCACAGGGCGTGGATGGGACATCCAGGGCCTTCACAGCCTCCACAGATAGGAGTTTGGTTTTCCTCAGTACTGTCAGAGATGCTGTGCCCAAAGCTCAGTCTGCATTCTAGCTCTGTCTTTTTAAAACTTTATTTATTTATTTATTTATTTATTTATTTATTTATTTATTATTTATTTTATGTGTGTGAGTGTTATGTGTGACAGTCTCCTTGTATCCCCAGCTGTCCTGGATTCACTATGGAGACCAGGCTGGCCTTGAACTTACAGAGATCCGCCTGCCTCTGCCTCCGGAGTGCTGGGATTAAAGGTGTGCGCCACCATGCCTGGCTTATTTATTATTTTTTATTTTATGTGTATGCTTGTATTACCTGCATGTGTGTAAGTGTACCATATCATGCAATGCCTGCAGAGGACAGAGAGGGCATAGGAGTCCCTGGAACTGAAGTTTTATTTGGTTGTTAGCCACCATATGGGTGCTGGGATTAAAAACAACCAGTGCTCCTTAACAACTGAGCCATCTCTCCAGCCCCTCCAGCTCTGTCTTTATTAGCTTTGTCTTTATTAGCTTTTATAGCCTTGAGTAAGGCCCTTCACCTCTCTGAGCTCCAATTTCCTCATTGGTAATAAGGGTATAATGCCACCTACCTTGTAGGGTGATTTTGAACTCTAAATATTATGTATGCAAAACATCTGTACTGTTGGGCACACTTGGGCACACATGGGTATAAAAGTGATGGTTTGTGCAGCTGGAGAGATGGCTCAGTAGTTAAGAGCACTGACTGCTCTTGCAGAGGACCCAGGTTTGATTCCCAGCACCCACATGGTGTCTACGAACCATACTTAACACCAGTGTCCATTCGAACCCAAAGCCCTCTTCTGACCTCTGTGGCATTGCACGATATGGGTGCACTCACATACTTCAGGTAATACACTCATATGCATAAAATAAAAATAATAAAAAAAAATTTCTTTTTAAAGCTTGTTTGGATGGGCGTGGTGGTACATGCCTTTAGTCCCAGGACTTGGGAGGCAGAGGCAGGTGGATCTTGGTGAGTTCAAGGCCAGCCTAGTCTACACAGTGAGTTCAGGTCAGTTGGGACTACAGGGAGACCCTGTCTCAAAAAGACAAAAAATAAATAAATAAATAAAGTGCTTGTTCATACAAGTCAGGCTTCCATGAAAAGCCTGCAGTGATTCTACGAGCCACATGGCCTACACTCAGTGTAGGAAAACACTTGTGGATGTGAAGCAGGACCAGAGAGCAAGACTTGCCTTTTCAGCCTCTGATGCCCTGAGCTGGTTTATTGATTGTTGCCTCCTTCCTGGAATATCTATTTTGAAGACTGCTTCCTAATCTTAGCTACTTTAAGGGGAACAGGACCAACATGTAAAGCCTGACTGAGAGACTCACAGCATTCAAGGATGCTGGACCCCGACTGATGCTGAGAACTGTGGAGTAAGGAGACCTCAGGAGGAAGAGAAAAGTAACTGTCTTCATAGCTTCTTTCAGATTAAGGGTGAGGCAAGATTCTAAGAGCAGGGACTGTCTAATCCAACACACACACACACACACACACACACACACACATATCAGGCAAATATACCCCTACTTCCATCTCTATTTCAAGCACATTAAGTTTCCCATTCACTAACTGTGCCAACAAAAGTTAACCTCAGAAGAGATCAGACACTAGATACATAATTTACTTCAAACTTCCAAGAAACCAGAGCTAAACATACTGATGAGCAAAGAACCCGTTTCTAACAGGGAAGCAGATAGGAAGCTCCTAAAGGGAAAGTTTTTAAAAATCCCCTATTGGGGCTGGAAAGATAGCTCAGTCAGTAAAATATTTGCTATGTAAGCATTAGGAGCTAAGTTTATTCCCCAGAACCCACAGTTTAAAAAAGCTAAGCATAGTGGCAGGTACCTGTAATCCTAGTGCTGGGGAGATAGAGACAGGAAGATCCTTGGGGCTCACTTACTAGCTGAATGAAACTCTGTCTCAAAAAACAAGGTGGATGGCTCCTGAGCTGTGACGATTTGAAGCTGTCCTCTGGGTTACACACACACACACACACACACACACACACACAAATCTACCAGATTTTACCATTAAAGAATAATTCATTTGGAAGGGCTGGAGAGATGGCTCAGCAGTTAAAGTAACACTGGTTGCTCTTGCAGAGGACCTGGGTTTGATTCCCAGCAACCACAATGCAGCTAACAGTCATCCATAACTCCAGTTCCATCTGATGCCCTCTTCTGACCTCCATGGGCATTATACGACATGGGTATACTTACATACATGCAGGCATAACACTCATACATATAAAATAAAATTTTAAAAAGGATTCATTCCTTTGACCTCAGGCAACCCCAAGTTATAAAAGATTTATCCATCTTATTGTTCCCCAACTCCTTGCCAACTAGACAAAAACTCCAATTCCCACTGATCCTACTTGCTACTGCTCTCTGGGCTCCATCCTTTCCTTTCTGTCCTTCTAGTCTCCATCCCAGCTCTGGTCTCCACCAGCATCTCCACAGGTTTCCCAACCTGTTTTCTCATCAGAAGATGGAATGACCTTCTAAAGCACAAACCTGATCATATCTCTTCCTGCTTAAAATCTTTCCAAAGCTCTTTTACCCTCAGGATAAAATCCAGCTGTCAATCTGGCATTCATAAGGATCTTCTTCACTTCCATGCATCCCAGAACAAAGTCCTCTTTCCTCCAGGAAATAAGTCTTCTCCAAGGTCCAAGCTAGGTTAAATAAATGCCTTCTCTGAGCCCTACATCCCTGTATTTTGTCTTATCACAATAAGAATTCCAACTCAGGGGCTAGAGAGATGGCTCAGCCATTAAGAATGCTTGCTGCACGAGGCATGGTGGTGCATGCCTTTAATCCCAGCACTCGGGGGGGGGGGCAGAGGCAGGGGCAGGTGAATCTCTGTGAGTTTAATGCTATCCTGGTCTACATAGCAAGTTCCAGGCCAGCTGGGAGACCCTGTCTCAAAAGAGTGCTTGCTGTTCTTCCAGAGAACCCTAGTTCAATTCCCAGCACTCAAGCTGGGCAACTTACAGCTGCCTACTCTAGCTCCAGGGGATCTGACACCCACTTCTGGTCCCTGAGATGCCTGTACTCACCCACTCAGACACTCATACACATAAAAGAAAATCTTTTTTAAAAACACAACTTATTATATTGTAACTGTCTAAGAACTGTTTCTTGTTTGAATAAGATACTAAAGGCAAGTGCATAGTACTATCATTTCCATGCCCCAACTTCAACTCCTGGGCCCTCAGGGAGGACCTAGTATATCTAGGAAGAATCCATCCAAGTTTCTGGCTATCCTGAAATGACACAGGTTGTGACACAGGGCCTAGAGCTGCTGGTAGAGAAACCAAGCTCAAAGGTCCCACAACAGGGATCATTCTCCTAACCTTGGTTAAAGGTACTTACCCTGGCTCCTGAACCTCTTCCTAAACCTCTAAGTCCCTGGCTTCCTTTCCAGTTTGGTCTTTCCTTAATCTTTTCCTCCCTCTTGTGACTTCCTCTTCCCAGTCCCAATCCTACCTGCCCCCATCATCCTCTGCTCCAACTCCTGTGCACTTCCTATAATCCTCTCAACTCTTAGAGGTGGTAGTGACTCTGTTCTTCTAATCTCTGCCTCCAATTTCTCCCTAAGCTCTGACTTGTCCCACTCCAAATCCTTTTGTCACATTCCCCTCTCCGTTCACTTTCTCCTACTCTGATTCCTCCCTTCCCACTACCTCATGACCTGCTTGCCCCCAGATGCTAAGGATCCTGGCACTCACCCCACAGTCAGTGGCCACCGTGTACTCAAAGTGGAACACCAGAGACCAGATGATGCAGAAGAAGAAGCCGAACAGGGGGAAAGTGATGACCCACCAGACAAAGGCTGTGAAGCGGAGCCGGAACACGGTCCCATCGGGATCCAAGGGCGCAGAGAACATCCTGTAAGAAGTGGTCCAAGCAAGGCAAGGGACACAACTTGGGGCCTAGTAGGATACCTGGGCCTGGCAAAGTGGGGTCTTTTCTAGAGCTAGTACAGGAAGAACCAAAGAATAAAAGGAATAAAGGGTATCAGGGGGAAAAGGAAGACTGAAGAGGAGGAAGAGAGATGGGAAAAGAGTGGCAGAGCCAGGCAGGGGCAGCTCTTAGGAATCCATGGCACACTGGTGTTTTAGGTCCACCTTTTGAAAAGCCTATACAATAGAGGCTCCCAGGGGCCTAGACATGGGAACTCTGATGGCTTACCTCACAACCACCACCCTCATGGCAACTGAGAAGGATCAGAGATGGAAAGATTATTATTCCCATCCCACAGGAGAGGAGATAAAGGCCCAGAACTATGCCAGGATCAAATGCTTAGACTAATGCTTCTTTCTACCTAGCAGCTTAAGGCTCTAAGTCAAGGACCCTTGGCTCAGACTAGCTGAGTCCTCCCACTGACCCTGTCTGACCACATTCCTCCTTCTCACTCATGTTCAACTAGGAACAATGACAGTGTCCTAGAACCTATTTTGGTAGGACCACAAGCTACCAGCCATTCCACCCCCAGGCTCTGAAAGAGCCAAGCCACAGGCCAGTAGCACTTTGATCCTGCAGAGGCTCAAACTTTCATTTCCTTCCCCTTTCGGAGACCACATCACCCAGTCCAAAGTTTGGAGCAATCTGAGGGTCTTTGGAACCTTCTGCCTATAGCTTCAGCTTGCTGTGCTGGGTCAAACCCAGGAAGCCTCCATCCAGGTCAACTGCAGACCCCGGAAGCTTCCTCCCTCCTAGCAGAGAAGTCCCACTGCACAGTTCATACAACCATGACCATTATGACCCCTCCAGCTGGGATCCCTTTGGGGACAAGCTGGGGTAAACAGAGATGGCTTTGTATTAAAAGGCCTAGGACCAAATCTTCCCTTAGAATACATACTTCCTCCTGTGAAGGAGACTCCAATTCGCTAGTCTAGCTCTTTAGGAACAAGGTAGGATGGGGGAGGGGGGCTCACCAAGTAACACTTACGCTGGGTGCTGAAGAATCCTGGGCTGGGGTTGAGGGCTCCAGCCAGACTGAAACTGCTCCAGACTAGAGGGTCCCACCCCCAGTTCCTCAGGGCCTGCCCTCCCGCCCACAAAACTCAGTTCTCCATGCCTGCCCAGGCACACAGCCTTCTTAGAATCAACAAGCCACCTCATAAATCCCAGAACACTGTGCAACTGTAAGAAGTGATAGTGACTACGGTCAGCCCACTTTAGCTTCTTTGCCAAGCATGGAGGTGGAAGATCTTTTTGAATATATGTGTTCATGGGATACAGGCAGGTTTCTAGAAAGTGAAATTGAGAAAGAAAAATGGGATTTGGCACACAGCCTTCTTAGAATCAACAAGCCACCTCATAAATCCCAGAACACTGTGCAACTGTAAGAAGTGATAGTGACTACGGTCAGCCCACTTTAGCTTCTTTGCCAAGCATGGAGGTGGAAGATCTTTTTGAATATATGTGTTCATGGGATACAGGCAGGTTTCTAGAAAGTGAAATTGAGAAAGAAAAATGGGATTTGGCCTTTTGATCAGAGCACAACTGAGTCTTTTTTTTTTTTTTTTTTTAGCTCTTTTAGAGAGCTGG